AGAACTTTAATGGATTGTTGTCTACTCCTCATTTGTCTGAGAAACCTTTGCTGATGCTTACTTTGGTAGACATGGTATTAATTAACACTAGAGACAGAGGCGAATAACAGTTTCTGCACTCAAGGTGTTCACAGTCTAATGAGACTATTTTTAAAAATATGAAGTGTCCCCGTTGTGCAGAGGAAGAAACTAAAGTCTGACGAAGCTTCAAGCCTTGTCCTAACTTAGCTTCCAGGAGGCAGACAGGACCTGATCTGAGATTCTTCTGATCCCACCTCAGTGACTCCTCCATCACCTCCACACTCAACTTCCTAATCATGTGCTCCATTACTGTTCTACACATGCAACAAGGATTACAGAAACCTGAGATTTTTAATTCATCTGGACAAGTACAGCAAGAAGACTAATGATTTTAATGTACCCAGAACCAACCAGGCCACTTTGTTTTTTGCAAACATGTAATAAAACTACTAATAAACTGACTTTTCCGATTACTTCAGGCTGCTTAAATCTTAAGTTGAAAGACTATTCTGAGAAGCTGCAAATATTTTCAAAGAAATAGCAAGATAGCACTTCCCTGCTGGTGCAGTGGTTAAGAATCTGCCTGCCAATGCAGGGGACACGGGTTCGAGCCCTGGGCCAGGAAGGTCCCACATGCCGCGGAGCAACTAAGCCCGTGTGCCACAACTACTGAGCCTGTCCTCTAGAGCCCGCAGGCCACAACTACTGAGCCCACGTGCCACAACTACTGAAGCCCGTGCGCCTAGAGCCTGTGCTCTGCAACAAGAGAAGCCACCACAATGAGAAGCCCACGCACCGCAACGAAGGGTAGCCCCGGCTCACCGCAACTAGAGAAAGCCTGCATGCAGCAACGAAGACCCAACGCAACGAAAAATAAATAAATAAAATTGATTCTTTAAAAAAAAAAAAAAAAAGAAATAGCAAGATAAGTCTGGCCAAAGAGGAATTTTTAATGTTCTCTTTCAACATCGGGGCAACAGAAAGTCATTGTCATAGAGAATGCATTGCTATGATGAGGTTCCTATCTTCAGAAAAGCCCCCTGTGAATATGAAATTGTTATTCAGCTTATCTCATTCATTCACTTTATGACAGTAAGCCAAGACTTTGCACCGGGGGTATCAAAATGGATGCATGAAATGCAGTCCCTGCCCTTAAGGAGCTCTCTGTTCAGTGGGAGACAGAAACATATTACTACAAAGGAATGATTACGTAGTGTTTGTTTGTGTGTGTTTGTGTGTTTGTGTGTGTGTGTGTGTGTGTGTGTGTGTGTGTGTGTGTGTGTGGCAAAGAGGGACAACTTCCTGAAAGCTAAGGCATGAAAAGGATAAAAAGGAAGTTGCCAAGTGGATGAGGTGGCAGGCAGCAGGGAGAGAATGGTGAGGGTGGGCACAGAGAACAGCATGTGCAAGATGACCTAATCTAGAACTAAAAGTATTAGCTAATGTGCTTGCTCTGTACTAATCACCTGGAAACTGAACATATCACTACCAAATGGAACTTTTCTCTTCTTGTTTTTGTAGCTCTTTATGACACCAATTCCAATCCAGCACTGAAAGTGATTTTGTGGTAATCACCAATGACTTCCATGTTGCCAAATTTACTCCAGTAGACACTTTTCAGACATCATCCTAACTGACCTCACAAGCAGCATAGGACACAGTTGATCACTGCCACTTTTAGGCTGTATCTTTTCTCAGGAAATTTTCCTCCACCTCTTTAGTCCTTCGTCCTCATACCCCTTGCCAGATCCTCCTCTTCCACCTGATCTCTAACAGCTGGGGTTCCACAAGGCGTACTCCAATCCCCCTTCTTCCCTCCCCAGGTAACACCATCCATTCCCGTGGCTTTAAATACCACCCATATGCTCATGACTTCCAAAAGTGCATCTGTAAGCTGACCCCACCTCTGAGCTCCAGTCTTGTAAATGCAGCTGCCTCCTTGATATCTCCACCTGGAAATCTTTTCAGGCATCTCAAAGTCAACAAGTTCAAAAGTGGAGCTTATTATTTCAGCCACTCTCCTTAAAACCTGCTGTCCCCTCCTCATTCCAGTCATGACCCAACATTCACCTGGCCAGTCACTGGAAGCCACTCTTGCCCCTATATCCAGTCACCAAGTTCTGTCAGCTCTACCTCTGCATAATTTCCACATCTAAGTCCACCACTGACACCCTAGTCCAGGACACCATCTTCTAGCACCTTCCATTCTCCAGCCCTGTACTCCCAGTACATTCTCCACACAGCACCCACAGTGACAGTTTAAATTATTTCATTCCCCTGCCTAGAGCCCTTCTGTGACGGTCATCAGTTCCTTCAGAAATAATCCAACTCCATTCTCTTCTTCTGATACATGGTAAGATTGTGAAGTTAGGTGAGGCATGTGACTTTCTTTGGACAATGAAATGGGAGCAGTGCTCCAGACAGAAGTGCTCCATTAGCCTGGGTTCTAGACTTAGGATATGAAGGTGAAGTGGATATGCAGCATGAGTGAGAAAGAAACACATGTAAAGCTACACCTTCAACAGCTCCCAAATGCACTAAGAATGAAATACAAATGCCTTACTGTAATGAACAGATTCCAATATAACTGGCTCCTGTGTATCTATCCAGCCTCATCTTGGGCCTGTCCTTCTGGGTCATTATATTCCACTCACACTGGCCCTCTTGCAATTTCTAGAACAAGCCAGGTGTCTCTCCCCCTTTCCTGCATGGTTCTTTGCATGGTTCATTCCTCAACCTATAGATCTCAGCTTATATATTACCTCCTCAGAGATGTCTCCCTTAACCACTGTATCATAGTGAGTCAAAGTCACTATGACTCTCCATGACAGCACTCTGACCATCTCCTGCATGGCACATCAGTCTGTAATAATTATTCATCTCTTTGATTTGACTGAGGAGCTCACTGCTGTCTCCAGTGCTTAGCATTACCCTCAATATGGTACCCAATATATGATAGGCACTTAAGAAATATTTGTTCAGTGAATGAACAAATGAGAAAAGACTCAAAAAGTGGGACATAAAAGAAAAAAAACACACACTACAGACATCTTATCACATATCACAGAGGTAAAAGGTGGGGAGAGGAAGGAAACTCACATTTCCAGTAAGGGAACCAAGAGTGACTACGATGTACACCTAACACTAATTTAGGTACTTTACATATGTTACCTCTCTAGATTCTCAATAATCCTAGGAGGTCAATATTAAAATCTCCACTTTCCAGATCAGGCAACTGAGGCTCAACCTGCGCAAGGAGCAAAACCAGTAACAGTATCAGTTTTAACCCAGGCCTGTTAACCTCTTTCCTCCAAACCATGATGCTTCCCTAGAAATTAAACTGCTACTGTATTTTCATCATTAAGTACTTTTCTATTATACATACAAATTGTATTTATATATGGATACATCTCTACCCCAAGAACAAGTTTTTGTTTTTCTTTTTTTGTTTGTTTTTGTTTTTTTCAGGTTCATCCTAAAGCATAAAACAAACATCTCCTGCTATCTGGGACAAGTGAAGGCAGAAAAATGCAGCAAATCCAAAGTACAAATAAATCAGACATTTTGTTGGAACTTTTTTCTTGAAGTCTTTTTTCTTCTCAGAGTAAAAAGCCTCTATGATTAGGAAGTCTGTGTTCTGAACTGATTTTATGGGACTTAAGATCAACTTATACTGCCTTAATTTACCATCTTGTCCCATCCCCAAATGCTGTTCTGCTGGTCACAGAACATGCAAAAAGCTAAATGGCCTAGGGGGATCGTATCCACAGTCCTGATTTGATTATAGAGGCTCCAAACATCTAAACAAGCAAAATGAAACCACCTGGCTTTTTACCTCTGACCATCTTTGGGTGAAGTAAATGTGTTCACAGCAGAAAGGTGGGACCTGGATAACTCCCAAACAGTTCTACTGGGCTCTGAGTAGACTCACAGGATTATCACAACAGAAGGGACCTTAAAGACCATCTTAAATGCCCTCTTTTAACAGGTTAGCAAACAGGCTAGCAAACAGTTAGCAAACAAGCTATCAGACAGTTACTTATTTGCCTAAGAAAAACAAGACTCCTGGCTCCTGGTCAAGTGCTCTTTCCACCACAACACAGCACCTCCCTAATCAAGAGCTAGTGATTGATTATGCCAAAGTAACCAGTAGATAGTAGTCTAGATAACACAGATCGTAAATCCCCAATGTTTCTCTTACTCTCCATCATTTAGAAAACCCTGAACAAAAAGAACATACACAATAAAAACAAAGGAGATGAGGAAGAGCTATTTTAATTTTCTATTAAACATTCTTCCAAAAACATTATTCTACCCCATATCTTACTGAGTTATTAGAAATAACATTAGCATTAGAAAAACTAGGAAGGTAAAAGTAGGGAAAACACATCACATGCCAAAGTCTGGTATGAAATTTACCTTTAAAAAAAAAAGGAATAGGGCTTCCCTGGTGGCGCAGTGGTTGACAGTCCACCTGCTGATGCAGGAGACATGGGTTCGTGCCCCGGTCCGGGAAGATCCCACATGCCGCAGAGCGGCTGGGCCCGTGAGCCATGGCCGCTGAGCCTGCGCATCTGGAGCCTGTGCTCCGCAACGGGAGAGGCCACAACGGTGAGAGGCCCGCATAACGCAAGAAAAAAAAAAAAAAAAAAAGATATAAAAAGCAATATTCCTTTAAATTGAATAAAAAAAAACTAGGAAGGTAAATTAAATGTGCCTTGTTAAACTAAACATATGAAAAGGGAAAATTATAACAAAGGAAGGAGAGTTTTACAAATTAAATTAATACGAGATTGTAATTTGAAAACTGTGCATCTCAAAGCAAACTTTATTTGTTCAATTATTTTTAACAACAGTGTTTATGATTCTAATACACTGATTTTTTTCCAGGAAGGCAACTCACTTAAAAATATTTTTGTTTTAAAACATAGGCCTGTGTTCAGCTATATATTTCTTCTCCCAAGCTTTGATCATATTTCTTTGATGTGGGAAGAAAATACTGTTTTGATGGCATGAAATGCAAAACTGTGAAGATTTTTTTAAAAAAACATCCCAGTACAGAATTTTAAAAATTATCAATGGAAAACAGATTAAGGTCATTAAGTGCACAACACTAATTACTGGCCTGCTACTGGCATTCTGTTTCTTCCCTAGTTCTCCCAAGGAAAACTTAAATTGAATCTTCAGCAGACTAATCCTCAAATATACTTTATAAGCAAAATGAGAGCTTTTGTTTACATAGTTTTTGGATTTTGCTATTCCTAATTTTATTCTGAAACTCAATTTTACCCCAAACCATAATTACCATATTAACTTTGTAATGCACAGTTGTATGCAATTCAGCAAAGCAGTAGTACATCATCAGGTTCTATTCACCCAGAGCTTAGGAAAAACAGGATTGGTCACACCCATTTAAAAACAAATACGCTATTTGCCAATGTGTAGTTTCAAACTAAGTTCTGACAATGAAATATATGGATATATATCTATATATCTCATCTTGACTTTCAAAGGTAGGGAACTTTTCAAAGGTAGGCAAAGAGAGTTCTTCACAGCTTAGCTTTGCCTGGCTGAAGCTGAAGATTTTGTAACTTCATAGCCAGACCCATGTTGCCAGTGATTTTCAATTTACCTTGAAAGAAGGCCTGTGAGGAAGAAGAAAGAAAATTTATCATTTGGTGTTTTTTGTTTTGAGACCGCTGATATTTCTGGACTATCCAGCCCTGAGATGATTTATTTATCCAGGTCTCTTCAACTTTCTTCAAAATATGAAACTTGGCTTTCAGGAATAGATTTAGAACCAGAGTCTTCAAAAGGACGCATTTGTAAAAGTCATGCTTTACACAGAGCCGTCAAAAGGCACATCTTTCCCAAATGTGTTCTCTTAAAAATTGAGTCTGCCTTTACCTGCCTTCCTCAAAGGTGGTACATTTTCCAAATATTAGGCAGAGTGGATTCATACTAGACCGATTTTGTTTAAAAACATTACACATTTGTTCAATGGGTCTGCTAGCAGGGAGAAAAAGCACATGCATAACACACTTATGAACTCCTGGCATTCAATACAATGCAGATGAAATGTCACCATTTTTCTCCCTTTTTTGGTCTACATGATAAAGATTTATTCCCTACAGAGGAAGGCCAGGCAGACTGCTGAGACTGAGGTGCCTGTGTTAATCTTTGGCTCAATAAGAAGAATCAAACCAATCCCAAGTGCAGAGCCACAGTTTGTTCCATTTAACAACTGCCTGGGATTAGATCACATGATGTTTGCTAAATTTATCATGTAACAAAATCCCAGGAAAACTTTAAAGAAATAGCAAAATTGGGAACATAGCATGATTTCCCTGCTAAGATCTCAGTCTTTCAACTCAATTCTTAAAATAAGGAAAAGCTACAGGAAAAGTTCTGGTAGTCTTAGCTTCCTAACGAGTATATTCATTAAGAAGTGAGGGGCTCTTTTGCCTCATCCATAGGAAATCTCAGAGCTCTGTTTTCTCTACACCTTCTGGTGAGGGTGACTAATTCCTTTTTTTTTTCTCCTCTGTCTGGACAAACTAAATATTGCTTTCTATATGGCACACAGCCTTCTGTCTGATGACTTTAAGGTCAGGTGTCTCAGAACACAATATATTTAACATATGTCCTTTAAAAATACAGACCAGTAGTACCTAGAAGAGAAACTCACCATATTTCCCTTTTCTTAATTAAAAGAGGAAATGACTTTTCACTTAATAATTATTATAGAGGAAAATGAGTCTTCACTTTTTAGAGAATCCGAACATAAGAGTCATTGAAATCTGGCCCCTAAGGTGTTCTTCATGTGCTTTCTTCTGGAGAGCACATTGCTTTGTTTCAACTGTAGCCAAACACTGATATTATAATTTCCACTGCATTTAATGGTTTCCAGTCAAATCTGCTACTGAGCATAAGGGAAGACCATTAGCACATTAACAGAAACGTCTCCTATTTTTGTCTTTAATTCCTTTGGGTGCTAACAGGTGTTCAGGAAAAGTAAGCTGACACTTCACTCCCCAAAATGGGTGGTAAACAGATAAACTGAGAGAATGAGGGCAGCTGAGTGTGAAGCCTGACCACACTGCCAAGGAAGTGCATGGTGTGCACCGTGGAATAAGCAGCGGTGGGTGGGAAGGAGGACGTCGGTCAACTCCGAGATTGGTGGCCTCTGTTCTGTCCAGATTTTTGGAGAGGGCGCAGTGGGTGGAAATGTCAATGTCAATGGTGTGTATTCAGTTGAAACATCACAGATGCAAGTCTCTCACTTGTCGACGCATCAGCTGAAATATGCTTAGTTGCTTAGAAAAAGCATTTTTAAAAGGAATACGAGTAGGAGTCAGATTTAGTTGTTTTATCCAATCTTTCAAATTATGAGGGTACCACAGGAACAAGACCTAAAACAAATCAGGCTGAGGCAACAACAAAAAAATAAGGTTACAGTGGAAAGCAGCATTTTAGCTTCCTTTGTGTTATCTATGGATAATGTATATCAAGTCTGTTCAACACTGTACAACTAAACAGTATAAGAAGACCCTTGACAATCTGGAGGCCTGGAAAATCTACACAAGGCATAAATACATTTTAGACAAATGCAAATTAATTGTGAAAACCCAAAAATGCAAGGCATCATGCTAAGTTCTGGAGACACAAAGATGAACAAGATGTGCTTTGTTCCCTTGAGATACACACAATCTAATAGGGAAGAGATAGGCACATTATGACTAGTATAATAAGACAAGTGCCAGGCTAGCAGGCCAGTAAGTGGCCCAGAAGAGGGACTGACTATAGATCCCCAACAATGTGGTAGGAGGTCTCTGGACATAACATCTAAGTTCATTTTGAAAGGCAAGGAGTTTGTCAAGGACGGACAGCTCAGGCAAAAAAAAAGAGCATGGGCAAAGATACGAAATGTAAAAGATCATGCCTTTGTTCACACCCGACCCTCCTTCTATCTGATGGCTCCTACTCTCCACCTGTGCACTGCTAACTCCTAATCACTCCCAGGACTCAGCCAAGCATTGTTTCCTCTGTGAAGCCTTCTCTGATGGCCCGGGAAGATGTGGCTTCTCCTTCCTCCACCCTCCCTGACCACAAGTAATGCAGGGCACCTTGGATATCTGGCTGCACTTACTCTTAAGGTTCTTTTTTTAATTAATTAATTTATTTATTTTTGGCTGCATTGGGTCTTTGTTGTTGTGTGCAGGCTTTCTCTAGCTGCGGCGAACGGGGGGTTACTCTCCGTCACAGTGTGCGGGCTTCTCATTGCGGTGTCTTCTCTTGTTGCAGAGCACGGGCTTTAGGCACGTAGGCTTCAGTAGTTGTGGCACATGGGCTCAGTAGCTGTGGCTTGTGGGCTCTAGAGTGCAGGCTCAGTAGTTGTGGCGCATGGGCTTACTTGCTCCACAGCATGTGGGATCTTCCCGGACCAGGGCTCAAACCCGCGTCCCCTGCATTGGCAGGCAGATTCTTAATGACTGCACCACCAGGGAAGCCCTGCACTTACTCTTTTGCAGACCCGTCTCGTACCAAATTGTGGACTCCCTGAGCATGGGAACTATTTCTTCTACATCTGGACATTTCCAGCACACAGGGCATTGTCTGGCACATCATTAGCTTCACAACTGTTTGTCATTTGTTAAGTGAACGTTTGGGGAACACTGAGTTTTGTGGGGTTTACCACTTTGCACTTTATGGGATGAGGTTGAGGTAGGTGATGAAGTGAAACAGGCTAAAACCCACCTAAGAAAAGGATATAGGTGCCATCATACTTACCGACTGAGGATTCATTTTACCAGTCATCAAAGCCAGTAAGTCCGAGTCAGCCATTGTAATTGTGCAGTCGGCCTTCTTATCTAAAACAGAGACAGGCAGAAAGGATGAGAAATGGGGAGTGTTCAGTTTCATATATACATTTTAGTCAAAAGCCACTGGCTGCAACAGAATCACATCCAGAATTAGTGTGGGCAAATGGGCACTCACATACACTCTATGGCAGCCTCGTGAAATGTGACATAAATCACAAGCAACCCCAATATTTAACAAGAGGGAATTTATTAAATAAATCATGGTATATTCATATAATGGGATACAATACAGTCATTAGATGATGTGGATCTACATTTTATTGACCTGGAAAGATATTTATGTTATACTCTTCATGATACTGTTATATAAGCCAGTTACAAAACAAACTGTAAGAATGGACCCAAGTTTTGCTTAAAAACAGATATTCAATTATGTATATACAGGAAAAACATCTGTAAACTTGGAGACCAATATATTAATAATAGCTACTGTGGCACACAGACTCTAAAGTGACCCCTGTGATCCCTGCCTTCTGGTATTCATGCCTTTGTACAATCCCGTACTCTCGAGTGTGGGCAGGGCCTGTGACTTGCTTCTAGCCTGCAGAATGTGGCAAAGGTGATGGGCTGTCATTCCTGTGTTCTGTTACACTGTATAAGACTCTGTTTTGCTGGCTCTCTCTCACTCTCCTGCTGGCCTTGAATAAGCTAGCTGCTATACTGTGAACTGCATACTGCATATGGAGAGGGCTACATGGCAGGGTACTGACCTTCAGGAGCTGAGGGCAGACTCTGACCAATAACCAGTAAAAAACTAAAGCTATCATTGTCACAGCTACAAGGAAATTACTTCTTCCAGCAACATCAGTGAACTTGGACACGAACCACTTCCCCAGTCAAGTCTCTAGATGAGAACTCAGCCCTGGCCAACACCCTGACCGCGGCCTGCGACACCCTATGCAGAGGACCCAGCTAAGCTGTTCTCAGCCAACTTACCCATGGAAGCTGTGAGGTAATAAATAAATGTGTGTGTTTTTTTAAACCACTAAGTTTGTGGTAATTTGTTAGAAGATGAATAGTCATCTAGATCAGGGGTTAACAAACTTTTTCTGTAAAGGATCAGACACTAAATACTTTAGGCTTTGCAGGCCACTAGGTCTCTACTGCAACTACTCAACTCTGCACCTGTAGCACAAGAGCAGCCATAGAGAATACATAAACAAATGAATGTAGCTGTATTCCAATAAAACTATTTTCAAAACAGGGAGCAGACCAAGAGGGATAAGATATTTGTAACTCACAGATCTAACAGAATTTGTATCCAGAAAATATAAAAAACTCCTATCAATTAGAAAAGGTTAGATAGTTCAATACGAAAGTGGGCAAGTAACATAAACAGGCACATACAAAAGATCTCCAAATGGTCAAAAAAAGCACATGAAACAGTGTTCAATTCCATTAGTCATCAGGAAAATGCAAATTAAAAGTACAGTTGAGATACTAAAACGTACCTACTAGAATGAATGGCTTAAAAAAAAAAAAAAGATAATACCCAGTGCAGGTCAGAACAATGCTGGAGGGACTGGAAAATGGTACAGCCACTTTAAGACAAACAGTCTGGATATTTCCTAGAAAGCTAAACATACACATGCCATATGACCTACCAATCCCATTCTTAGGTGTTTACTGAAGAGAAATGAAAACATAAATTCACACAAAAACCTGTATGTGGATGCTCATAGTGGCTTTATTTAAATAGCCAAAAGCTGAAAAAAACCAAATATACTCCAGCTGGTGAATGGATAAACTACTCAGCAACAAAAAGGAACAAACTACTGATAATACATGAAAGAAGCAGGCTCAAAAAGCTGCATACTGTATGATTCCATTTGCAGTTTATGACATTCTGGAAAAAGTGAAACTACAGGGATAGAAATCAGATCAGGGGTTGCCAGGGCCTGAGGGTGAGAGAAGGGGTTTGACTACAAAAGGACATGAGGACATTTTTTTTTTTTAATTAAGGGTACTTTAATTAATTAATTAATTTATTTATTTTTGCTGTGTTGCATCTTCGTTTCTGTGCGAGGGCTTTCTCTAGTTGTGGCAAGCAGGGGCCACTCTTCATCACGGTGCGCGGGCCTCTCACTATCACGGCCTCTCTTGTTGCGGAGCACAGGCTCCAGACGCGCAGGCTCCGTAGTTGTGGCTCACGGGCCTAGCTGCTCCGTGGCATGTGGGATCCTCCTAGACCAGGGCTCAAATCCACGTGCCCTGCACTAGCAGGCAGACCCTCAACCACTGAACCACCAGGGAAGCCCCGACATTTTTTGGAAATATTCTATATCTTAATTTTTGGTAGTAGCTATACAACTGTATGCATTTGTCTAAATTCACAGAATTGTACATCTAAAAAAGGTAGATTTTACTGTATGTAAATTATACCTCAATGAACCTGACTTAAAAAAACAACAACTGACATTACCAAGTACTGTCAAAAATGTGGAGCAAATGAAACTCTCATATAATATGGAAGAGACTGTAAAATAGTATATCCATATCAAAAAACTGGCTATATGGTAGCTCATGACTTAGTATTTCTACTCCTGGTTATATGCCAAATGGAAATAAGTACATGTGTCCACTAAAAGACACGTATGAGAATGTTCGTAACACCTTTATTCATAAGGCCACAAAATGGAAAACTGCGAAGATACAGCAACCATGAACTGAATAAATAAATTCTGGTATATTCACATAGTAAATATGAACTACTGCTACATGCAACAATATAATAAATCTTACAATGCTGAGTGAAAGAAGCCACACCTAAAAGAGTAAATATTGTATGGTTCCATCTATACGAATTTCCAAAATAAATAATATCAACCTATGGTGACAGAATTTGGAATAGTGGTTCCTTTTGGGAGTGGATAGTGATGGGAGGCGGTGTCAGGGAGGTTTCTACAGTGCTGGCAACATTATGCATCTTGATGCGGGAGATGTGTTCATTTGTTAACATTTATCAGGCTGTACACTACAGATTCATGCCCTTCCTTACAGGCTAGACTTCAGAAAACTTTTACACAAAACAAAACAGAAAAAAACAGGTGGTGGGATGAATTTGGCCCACAGGTCATAATTTGTCAACCCCTGATATAGATGGTAGGATTATAGGAGAGTAATTTTTTCATTTTGTTTCTCTATCTTTCCCAATTTTTTTGCACTTAAGTATGTATTACTATATAAAAACAAAGTTTTAAAAATATTAATTTTTTTATTGGAATATAGTTGATTTACAATGTTGTGTTAGTTTCTGCTGTACAACAAAGTGAATCAGCTGTATGTATGCATATATCCCCTCCCTCTTGGACCTCTCTCCCACACCCCCCATCCCACCCATCTAGGTCATCACAAAGCACCGAGCTAGCTATCTATTTTACACATGGTAGTGTATATATGTCAATCCTAATCTCCCACCCTCCCCATCTCCCCGGTGCCTGCATGTCCGTTCTCTTCGTCTGCGTCTCTGTTCCTGCCCTGCAAATAGGTTTAAAATATTAATTTTAGTAGTATAACCAAAGTATAATGCAAAAAAGGCCATACCACAAAGACTCTAATATCTTATTGCTAAATCAGCAATGTCTATCTTGGACACGTGCAAAAGGAAAAATTCACCAAGAAATCAAAATTTTCAGTAATCAGTGTTTCAGGCAATCAATATAACAATAGTACTCTAATAGTACTACTACCACTAACAGTAATAATATCAAATTACAGCCCAATAGTTAAATAATCTGTGCCTTAATAAAAAAAGATAGGAGTTGCTATGGTCTGAATGTTTGTATCCCCCGCAAAACTCGTATTTTGAAATCCTAATGCCTGATGTGATGGTATTGGTAGGGAGGGCCTTTGGAAGGTCATGAGGGTAGAGCCCCTATGAATGGGATTAATGCCTTATAAAGAGGCTCCAGAGAGACCCCTAGCTCCTTCCATGATATAAGCCCACAGCAAGAAGGCACTGCCTATGAACCAGGAAGAGGGCCCTCACCAAACGGGACCATACTGATGCCTTTATCTAGGACTTCCAGCCACCAGAGCTGTGAGAAGTAAATTTCTGTTGTTTATAAGCTACCCAGGCTGTGGTATGTTCGATATAGCAGCCCAAATGGCCTAAGATGGGGGTAAACTATGAAAGTACAGCATGCCTATATTATTAAGTAACAAAAACAAGACTGAAAATAAAAGTTTTTATTATATGTCTTAGAATGCAGGGATAGCCCATAAAAAGACTGTGATTCAATAGCCACTCCATCTTTGCCTGTAACAAAATTTTCTCTTATTACTTGAAAAAAGGTCTTTAATCTTAAAAATTAAGGTATTTACAACCTAGAAAATCCAGTTCTCTTGTAGATATATAACATCAAAGAGCAGGGAGAAAAAAAGCTAGCAAACTGAGATAACTGGACTTGATTCATAGTTGGATTAGATCCTAATATGCCAAAAAAAGGACTCACAGTCAATAAAAAGGTGACTTTAGGAAATAAATGCTGCTGCTGCTGCTGTTAACTATATCAGCATTTACTGAGCTCTCACTATGCCGATTACTTCACATACCTAGACTCATACAATAACCCTATGAGGGTCAGAGAGGTCAAACAACTTGCCCAAGGTCACACAGCTACTAAGTGGCTGAGCTAGGTATGAAAGCAGATTCCTGCCGCC